TAACTGCGTTCGCTCAAGGTCAACTGGATCAACAAGGTCTCTACCATCGTTATTCGACTTGACATAGGACTTCAAGAAGATTTCTAAGCACCGTGCAAGAGTGGCACCTCCGACGGACCTCTCAGAATTATGACCGAGCCAATTCAATAAGCGCGAGGGACGTAGACTGATGCGACCGACATTGGCGTTGCACATCCTCAACAAGGTGCGTACTAATGTAATTAGATCGACTTCGGCTCCGACGCCTATTGTCAAGCCCATACATAAGTTGACCGTCACGCTCTCCGCCATGGCGGGATGAGGGTTAATGGTGTTCTCGTCTTCGGTTTCATATGCTTCCGAGTCGATGAGATATATTATCGTATCATATTTAAAGCCTTGTACCTCGAGGGTTTTCCCGCGGATTCTATTATGGATGATGCGTCCTGGGGATCGTTGATTCAAGAACTCCAAGACCCACGGAGGTGGCTGAGAATGCATGTTCGCCCAGTCGGGCACCCAAGATGGCAAGTTCCGCACGCCACGGGTCCTATGGGCGAGTAGTATAATATCAGTCCTATCATGATCCTCGATCATACATCGAGCAGTATCAAAGAAGACTTGCTCCACCGTCTGCGAGTAATTGGGAGTAGGTATTAACACGCGGCCGTCTCTTGCCAAAGAGAGGAGTGCGTAAAGCTTATCTCGAGGATCGCGGGCTAGAGATCTGCGGCTCAAAACTAGCAAAGGGATAAGGCTAGTCTCCGTATTGGCCCTCAATTTGTTCTGCTCACGGTATCGCATTTGACGAAGGGGTGAAATAAGGTGCTGAGCATACTGGGCGGGAATCGAGTTGCCAAGTTCGCCAAGTCGTTTTAACATCGTGCCCCAGGGCACAGAGCGCTCACCACAGACGATAACTGGAGACCTAGCCCTGCAGATTTCTTGGATCACCCAGCATCGGGTCCAGTATGGTCGGCTGAACAGGCGGATGACGGCATCGCAAGCGATCTCTATCTCCTCGGGCAGTTCAACCTGCTCGCTAAGTTTCGAAGCCCCTAAAACCGCCATCGCCATATCCGAATCGTGATCTGCAGTCCCAAGCCAAGCAAAGACCGTCGCGGCCTTGGAATATATAATATCCATCATGCGCACTTGGCCACTTTTCTCATCGTTGTCGTGTTGGTTGATAGACAGATAGTCGACCCAGACTAAAGTATTACCCATCCGCCATAGTTGCTCCAAGGCCGACAGAAGAGTCTCCGAGACGGGAACTCTAGAATTTTCGACAACGAGACTTTTCCTGTTAGGCAAGTCCCCCCAGCAGTACGATAACGCAACATACTGCGGCGAATCCTTGAGCGAACGGTACTGCAGTCGACATCTGAATTCAGGGTATTCCTGTAGCTCCACTAAGCGCACTTCATAGTCACGGTCATTAAGTTGTCGTCGATATAACGGTGAGGCACCGCCCCTACTAGCTTCACGCAGGCCCAGCATTTGTGCTTGACGGAAACCCTCTATTTGATTTCTAGCTGCGTTTTGCTAGAATGACTGTCCAGCCTGTAAGCTCCGGCGGGGTTGACTCTTGGCAATTCAATGCCTGAGAAGAATGCAACATCTACGAACACGTGACTTATTTGTCTAATCGGTAAGCGGGAAATAGCGTAGTTTGCTTGGGGGCGTGGGGAGTCTTCATTCGTGTCTTGTACTTTAGGATTTGGTCTTTCATCGTGTTGTGGTAAAGTAACTAGGGTAATTCATGCTCCAAGTCTCTCAACTTCCTATAGATTCTGCGGGTTTGAGAAAACAATTGATTCAGTAGACCATGAATATCACATTAATACTGCCAATTCGTATCTACACGTAATACTTTCCATAAATCCACTTTCCCTACATCAAGGCGCAGGCTATGTAAGCGATGGTGAAATGATAGGTATATGAGCGTTACAATTCAGCTTACTGACTGTCTGAGTGAGGTGGGAAGACCTGCTTATATACATGAACGAGATGCCCTCAGCCCCTATTCTAGTGTGGTACATGAAGTGACTCCTTGACCTAGTATGCTTTCAACAAGCGAATTGAGAAGACCTAATATACATGTCACAAACTGTCTCTTCCATCACATAGTTATTTCGTCACAATCCTGTAGCTTGTAAATTGAATCGCAATTGCGGCATCATTTACTTTTAAAGAAAACGAATCGAGAAAGACTGATCCTATCAGTGTATTTAGTCCCGGAGTAGGAAAAGGGGCTCGTTATAGGTAGGAGTTCGTGGACACGGCCGCAAATTAGGAAAACCTCTCAATAACCCAGTCACTTAGTAGGTTTTTCCTAACCCTGCTGGTTTTCTTTCCCTTCCTTCCTTCCTTCCTTTCTTTTTTCTTTTCTTTCTTTAATCCAAGAAAATTAGCCAGGGAATTTGTCGGATATAGGGTGAATAGCAAAAGGTGATGGCGGTCACACACCAGTTTGCTATACACTGTATCAATACCCTCTACGGCGATGCACATAGTGATGAGTTCTTTAACTTTGAGTACATGTGATATTCTTCATTCATGATCTTCAATACAACCAGTTTGCAATGGAGTTAAACTCAGCTTGACGGAATGTCTTGGTCAAGGCCTTCACATTAGACACCAGTGTCGATTCAAGTATATCCTAATCGATATTAGTCTCTAGTTCGTCAAATATCTATCCTCTAATTGTCAATAGAATCCGGTGTACATGCTTCTCTGGTGGTGGCTATTAAGTCGGAAATGTCTTAGCCGGCGGCAGCTAGGTATGTGTTTTTCGGGCCAGGGACGGCACAGTCTGATATATAGTGCTGAATCATGTACCACACTGCCAAAAGCAGAGCGTCATCAACTAACGCATATAAAATCTAACGCTCATGTTCGAAGCCGGAGCGGCAACACATAATTCATTCGTGTAACAACAGCAACGTCTTTGAGGCTAACACGCCTTTCCTAGGGAGCTTGAGTTGACGTTACCACCGAATCAGATGCCACGTGAAATACTATCATAATGATTCATAGCAGACAGTGGGGCCAATGATCCCCTAGTAGGATTATAAGATAGACGGCCATCGCCGATCAACAATCAACCTTCAAGTTCATCGAATAGAGGACGTAAAAATGGCAGAGACACCTCACCATGCCATCGTTTTCGGCGCATCCGGCCTGATCGGCTGGGCCGTTGTCGACCAATTGTTACACTCGCACCCTGAACCAGGCGCTTTCTCAAAGGTCACCGCCGTCACGAACCGCAAAGTCAAGCTCTCCGAGTCGCATTGGCCTGAATCGAGGACAGGCTGCCCAGACCTGCAGCTCGTCTCCGGAATAGACCTTCGTCGCGGCGACGGGACAACCTTAGCCGAGTCTCTAAAGGGAGCGGTGGAAGATATCCACGCAGTCACGCATGTGTTTTATCTAGGTACATCGAATCAAAATCTAAGTTGTAGGGTTGATGAAACATTAATGAGTTAAAGCTTTCACCTCGATCCCCGACGATGTCGAGGAGGTCGCGGTAAATCGACGTATGCTCCAGAACGTCATTGACACACACAATCTGCTCAGTCCCAACCTGCGATTTGTGGTCTTTCCCGGAGGAACCCGGGTATGTACTCAGTATCTTGAACTAGGCTCCCGTTTGCTAATGATTGTCCAGGGTTATGGCATTTACATGCCCGGAGGCGCATTCGCCCCTCCCCTGACTGAAGACATGGTGAATAATCTTCCGCCTGATTACGCGAAGACGGTTGCATATCCCGCATACCGCGAGCTTCTCAGCGCAGCAAGCAAAGGGAGGAAATGGACATGGTGTGAAGTCTGTCCGGACGCGATAGTGAGTCTTTCTATCACTACGCTCAGGCATAACTGACACGAAACAAGATTGGCTTCACCCCTAATGGTTCCCAATTCAGTTTGGCACTGCATTGGGCGCAGTACCTGTCTCTATATGCTCATAACCATGGCGTCGGGCCAACATCACAGCAAACTCGTACAGCTGAGATAGAGGTACCCTTTCCTGGTAACGCGGCCGGTGCCAATTCCTTGTTTTCCCCGGTATCCGCTACCAAGATTGCCCGTTTCATGATCCACGCTTCCGTCCACCCCGATGCATGTGGTGGCGGCCAGCTGTTCAATATTGCCGACCATGAGACACCATGCACGTACGGCGAGATCTGGCCTCGGCTAGCTAGCTGGTTTGGTCTGGTGGGCGTGGGACCACTTGTGGATTTAGAAGCGCCGATTGACTCTTTGAAGGTCGGCGAGCTTCCAGACGGTGCTCGCCAATTGACGCCCGGAGAATATGTAGCGAAGCACAAGGACATCTTCGCTCAGTTTGGACGGAGGAATGCTGTTGATGGAGGTGTTGGGGTTGGAAGTCAACAGTTGGATAGTGTTGGCTATTGGCTGACCTTTGATAGGCAGCTGAGCCTAGAAAAGCTGAAGAAGACGGGGTTTGAAGGAAATAAGGATCCGGTTCTGGGCTGGTTTGAAAGCTTTGAGATGTTTAGAAAAGTCGGATTGATATTATAGCACAGCAGTCGGATGAAAGAAAGGGCAATGGCGAATAGAAGCTGTTTGAGGTTGCAGCTGGTCCAAAGATGGCGAAGAATCTAACAAAATGTGACCTCTACTTAACGAAGTTCCAAAAGGAAAGAATATATTAACGCGGTTAATAAGGTGCAACCTCCTAAAAGATGAAGATAGATACTAATTCAAGGTGAGCAATGGCTCTAAGCTGGAAATAACCTAGACTTTATTTTAGTATACTGCTATAACATACCAACTCATCAGATGCTGACTGGTTGTTGATAGTTGTTAAATCTATAGTTGCTCCTTATCTACCAAGTTCCCTCTCACCACAGAAGCTAAGGATATAAACTCTTCCTAACTCACATTATGAAAACTCTAGTATAATGGTTATGACTTCTGCGCAAAAATACTAATTAGAATCACAAATAACAAACATTCAACTAAACAGACAATATTCAAAAATGAAAAATAAAAGACTCTCGATCGGGGAATCGAACCCCGGCCACCTGCGGTTTGTTGTTAGGACTCCTGTGTTCCACAAGGGTGAACACTAGGCAACTAATGACAAGCAGGTATCCTGACCACTAGACCAATCGAGACTGGGCTTGTTTTATGACTAATCCGTGCGAATTGAAACTTATGACTAACCCCGTCTTGCTGGAAGAAAAGAATACTAGCATGAGTAAGGAGATTATTAGGGGGGATAGGATTGATTTAATAAGATGAATAGTGAGTGTAACTACAGTTCTCATATGCTGTAGAAGGTAGAAGGGTAGAGAGGAAAGTACCTGCTCTTCAAGTCTCTTGAGGAAATTGGATATGCTGGATAAACAATACCACTATACTTCAGTAAAGTATAAATATCCTCGATAGCAAAGGCCATTAGAGACTCAGGGCAAGTCCTGATGAGTATTGTCACATCATAATATCATTTGAAATATTGAAGCATTAGCATATTTAGTCTTTCTCATCTGCCTGCGTGACCATGAACGCTTTGAATCAATCAAAAAACCCGTCAATAGCCTAACAGGAAGTCATGGGAAGCTTCAAATCAATCCCTTAGATATCATATTGATGCAGGAGATATCGTGCTTCAGCGAACCCTCCTCAAGTTCTGTAACCTTAATCTGATCCGGAGACCGCTCCGAGCCACAGGGCGAGCCACATACAAAAGCCACATCCACAGGCCACCCCAATGTGGCTTGCTGTGTGGCATATAAGATATTAGAGAAGTATGTTCAAAGGGCCGGTAGGTCGCTTACGAAAGCAGGGTGGTAGCTGAGTGCAATGAAGGCCAATTATTCAAGTGAAAACTGAGCTGATTTGAGTCGAAAAACCTACATCTGAGCTGTAGATACAATCCTCAACTTGAGGAGCTCGATTTGGGTAGATCAAGTACTAGGTTACGTACATGAGCTACATCTTGAAACCGTCCACTTGAGATAAAAACAAACGCCTTGCGCGCACGCGCATCAAAGGCCCAGATATGATATATCTGGTATAGTGCGCTAAAAATTACCCGGTTCTACTAGTCTCATAATGAGGATAGGAGAGGCCGCAAGTTTGCGTTTGTCTCGCCCCCTTTTTGAAGCGGAAGGATCGTTGAGCTCATCAACAAAATTGGCGCATCTGGTAGGTGACGGCCGATTGAGAAGAACCGGAGGGGTGAGTGGGCGACGAGGATAAGTGAAGCGTGAGATGAAAAATAACGGTTCGGCTTAATGATGGGCCTTCGCACATAGATTGCCGCGGCAGGGAAGTTCGCCTAGCGGCGGAAGAACCGGATAGCGATCATCTCTCGACGCGCAAGACGCGTGCGACCGCGATCGCGATTGTCACCACAATATGTGCAGGACGGTGTTCTCGTCCGCACTCCATGAACCATTCCCTACGTAGTCTAAATAACCAAAACGACACGTGGTCCCCTTTCCCGCCGTCGTGATTCCCATCAATTTGAGAAGTGAACGGGACAATACGCGACAGCCAACGAACTACCCAAACTTGCAAGACATTGGCAATATTGCACAGATCCACCAAATACACGAGACAGACTGCCCTCAGCCGCAACGTAGCGCAAGCCGGGAGAATAGGCGAAAGAGAAAGCAGGTACGCGGTGCGGGCCGTTGCACGCAGTACGCTGTACTCCCACAGGAGACATGAATACGAGACTGGAGGGTGACGCAAGAGAGTGAAAAGCACTATATCTGAGGCGAATGAGCAAGATGTCAACCTGTCAATCCACCTGGGCTAATAACCTTCCTCCCTTGTACCCATCTAGGCGCGAGTCGTGGCCCGTCGGGATCCCCGGTTTTTGTATTGCTGTGGTGGTGGTGACTTATCCTGATTGCGCGGGCGGGCGGCGAATCAGCCGGCCCGGCTATGGATGAGTACTAAGTAGTTTGGTGGCACGGCACGGGTTTTTATATGGGAACTAAGATCTTAGGGATGAGAGGAGATGCGCACGAGGAAAATGAAAATGATAATGGAGGGGGGGGGGAACTTGGAACCGAAACGGTTGGACGAGGCGAACGAGTTTCCAATTTCTCGCTTTGTTTTTTTTTGTGATTTGGGGCGAACTGGAGCCGCTTTCTATCAACAGCAACAAACCTGCATGCCCATACAACGCTGACCCCACCGCCGCCAACATATCGCATTGCCAGATCATATCACCACCACCTCAAGTCAGATCAGATCAGGCACCAACTGCCTGATGCTAGCCGGATATAAGCAAATAGCAGCACGCCGGGACTCATTTGTCATTATCACTGATTTTTTACCGTGTCGGTCCATTGAGGTGCGCGCGCGCGGAGAGATACTGAGCAGAAAGAGAGAGTCCTGTTTATAGATGAGTGGGATCGCCCGTGATTCGCTGCCATGAGTCTACCCCAGGACAGGATCCCCTCAGTTGGTCTTCACGTGTTATACGAGCCAGAAAAAAGCGAAAACAAGCTCATTGAGTGAGTACGATCCTTGTCCTTACTGTCGCAATACGCCGTCTGAGATGCGTGAACTCATGATTTCTTCTTAGCGTTGTCTTCATCCACGGTTTTGGGGGGCATCCCGTGAGAAGCTGGCAGTACGATGGCCGATCGGAACCTCTAGTTCGGCCTCGGACCGACCCGGCCGCGGGTGGGGGTTCGATGAAACTTCTGCGTAAAAGAACGAGGTCTGCAGACAAGACGCGCCGGATGAGTCTAGGGTCTATGGGTATGCGGAATTACACATGGCAGGGCGAATCGAATGCACCCTCTCCAGTCTTCTGGCCCCGGGACCTATTGCCTATCGCATGCCCGGAGGCCCGTATTATGACCTGGGGATATCATACTCTCCGCAGTGGCGCTATTCCGGTCTTTTCCCAACCCGATCTCTTCTCTCATGTAAATGACCTCCTTCGGGAACTTGGTGGTCTTCGACAGGGTACTAGTGCGCAACAGAGGCCATTGGTTTTCATTGCACATTCCCTCGGAGGGATTGTCGTAAAGGAGGTAGGCAGGTGAACATGTTATTTTGCGTAGAAATACTCATGGCTGCTGTAGGTGCTGCGCCAGACCGAGCTTAGTAACGTGAAGAGCGAGCAGGACATACTGAGCTCTACGGCTGCAACTATTTTCTTCGGTTGCCCGCATCGGGCCAGAGAAGACGAGCCGCTGGCCGTCACGGTCGTGTCTATGGCAGAGACGCTACTGGGCGTCAAAATAGAGAGTTCGACGCTGTCTGCTCTGTGTGGGGTGAATAGCCCCAAATGGAGTGAGGGCCAAGAGGTATTTCTTCGGCTGTGGCACCATTTCAACTTTGTGGTGAAGACCTACCAGGAGATGCAAGACAGTACAAATAAGTTAATCGTAGGTCTCGCCTTCTCTAATTTTGATAATGAGCTGACATGTCTGCATAGAATCGTCGCGCCGAGTCGTGTAAGCTTGGGGACGTAAGAGAGAACGCAGAAGGCTTACCTGCAGATCATCGCACAATGTGCCACTTTAAGTCGGCCAGCGATGTAGGCTTCAAATCGCTATCCAAAATCCTTCGAGATATCGTGAGGGATGAAAAGTCCAAGGTAGCTCATCGTTGAATCTTGTTTGAAACCAATGACTAATCAGGAACAATAGCGTCGAGGGCTAACCGCAGAAGAGCTAAGTTCGCAGCAATCCTATTTCCATTTTTATACCCAAGCTAACGGAGGGCAGATTGCTTGCGGCGACTGATCAGTCACCAACCCCAGGATTCTCAGCCATCCATCGTAGGAAGCTCTCTAGAGACATGCAAGGGAATATGTAGCGCAAGAGAGTTTTGCGATTGGTATCGTCGCCGGGGTGGTAGCAACGAACACATACTCTGGCTGACGGGTACACCAGGTTCGGGAAAGACGACTCAGTTACGACACATTCGAAGCCAAATGCAAAGGCAATGGAGGCCTGCTACAACGTCAATTATATACTGTACTGCAGGAAGCCGAAGTCTCGACCAAGCCCCTATGCTGTGTTCGAAGCTGGGGAGTATGCGATCTATCACAACTATTCGCTCACTCCTCTGTCAACTTTTCGTGAAAGACGTGGATCTCCGCCAAAGACTTGCGAGTTTGGACGAGGGTAACATTACTAACGCTGATTTGACTCGATTCTTTCTCGATGATTATATCCTAAATAAGAGGCCCCAGACACTAGCAAGAAGAACCTTTATCTTGGTGGACGTGGAAGATAGCTGCGACGACGCGTATATCCAGGAACTCTTGTATTGCCTATGCCAAATGGCACGGAACTCGGATTACAGTGTGTGCCTAGCAAGCCGACCAGTTAGCGACCAGGTTCCAACGAATATAACTCAGTTAGAACTCGAAAAACATAACTTCGAAGATATCACATTGTTAGTGCAGTCCCGTCTGAGTACCGGCTGGGAAGAGCGGTCTGCTGTTGTGAAAAGAATTACCGAGAAGGCTGGGGGAAGTTTTTTATGGGCGCGAATTGCGACGAATCTGCTCAATCGAGTTATTGATGGCGGCGGAGCACAAGATGCTGTGAACCTAGCACTAGAAGAGCTTCCCGCAGACCTATACGGACTATATGAACAAGCCTTGAGGAATCTCCCGTCTAAAGATATGGCGGATGCTACGACTATTATGCGATGGATTATATTGGCACCGGAGCCCATGATGCTCAATGACCTGCGAATGGCGGTCCGCTTGGGTCGTACGAATTTCTTGCTCTGTTGCGATCCGCAAAGCGCATTGGACGTTGGATCGCCCTGGTCGATGCAAGAGCTCCAGAAGACGGGTAAACAATTTGATACACCATCGCAGTTTTACCAATGGCTCTGCTCTCAGACGTGCGGCTTACTAGAGGCGAGATCTGCGGATGATGATGGCAAGGCGAAGCAGTCACTGGGACTTCAGCATGTCTACCCTATAAACGACTCAGTCCGATCGTTCTTCTTGTCTGGAAGGGGATTCGCTTCGCTCTCATCGGGACGAGCGACGACCACGCAGCGGGATCACGAGGCAGTCGACCTCTGCCACTACGGCCTTCTCCGTACAATCTTGATGTATCTGAACACGTCGGATCTATCCCCCTTAGTGAGTGGACACCGTTCGCCGGAACCGAAACAA